GCTATGCCGGACCCATTCCTAACATAAGTTGACCCAACCTTTCGATTTTTCAAAAGGAAACACTCGGTTAATGAATACAACACAGTGTCCATTATAACGCACCATTTTCATAGGGACGAGCCCAGATATGCACGTATGGCCACTTTCGCCCACGAAATTGAAACCCTCAAAAGGTCCTCAGGTGTCTCTCCCAAGTGAGCCAACGCCTTTCATGGCTCTTCTGCGATGGTCTTTGGACTCGTTAGGTCGAAAGGTCTTGTCATAAGGGCACAAATCACCTCATGGTCGCTGGTCACCCCATACCAAGGGGCACGTTCTTTGGTTGAAAAACTGAATTGCTTCTTATCATTAAGATAATGGGATGGGCGCACTTGTGGACGGAAATGTACATGAATCTCTCACGAGTGAGGTGATAAACACTGCTGAACCTACGAAAATGAAGGGCTTGTCAAAACAAAAAAGGCGCTATAAGACAATTGTTGCGAATGAAGAAGTCGTGCAAGACGCACGTTCTCAGCCGTGCTCCTATAGACTGGACTGACCCGTGCGAATCAACAAAACAATGCATGTAAATATACTTTATACAACTTTTAGTACAATATATTATTCACATCCATCAAAGACATTGTGCACGATAAATTTGGTATAGTGAAAATAGTAGGGGTAGTGGGATATAGGACGAGGTGGAAGAGAAGGAGTTTGAATGAACCATCAGTTAGTACCTCTTTCGTTGCTGACACCCCAGCAGTTGATTGTCCAAATCACATCTCTCGCGCTAGGTGGTCCATTTGGAGGTGGAATGAAACGTGGAAGCGGAAAATGAAAGTTGTCCCACTCATACCGCCATTCATCGAACCCTTTGCTTTTGAAATACAGTTAGTGTCGATGCATCGGCTGACGACATACAAAATTATGAAGCGGTATGGACATGAAGCCGGCAAAGTTTACACCCATCGAATCACCCACTGAAGCCACTGACAGTGAATATTCTCGAATATCAGGTGGGACCTGAAAGTAGGACGCTATTACAAGGGTGAAAAAGGTCATGGGCTGGCTTTCCGTTCACGCACGAATCGTTGGATTAGGTGTCCTATCTGTTTTCCAGGAAAATTTATTAGACAAGCGATGAGTTTGGCAACTCACCATTTTATGGATTTTATTGAATGTGTTCACGTAAGCGGCTCCTCCCAAGAGCCCTTCGAAAATGATCAACCCGAAAATAATAGCTATATGCGGTGTAAACCAGTAGATGGCTTCAAACAGGAAGAATACAAAATTGGACGCCTGAAAAATGAATTACTGTCACGGACAACGTAGTGATATACGTGGTCAAAGCTCTGTCTGCACTGCCGTTGTTGCACTGCCGTTACAGTACTCTCTCTGCTTCAGTTAATTCTATGCCTGGTGTAGCGTGGCACAACATGGACCAAGATCGCTTTGGCGGATCGTAAAATGCTGTTTTCCTGAAGCTTCATGGAAAATAGCTCTGTGAGCAAGTGGTCAGTGTTCAATTGCACACGCTTTTCTGGGAGCAGACGAAAGCGAATAAAAAAGCAGTAGCGCAGTCCAAAGTAAAATGTGCCTAGTCATGTATAGTGGTGGCTCGACGAATTAGGCATTTACCTGCAGTACAGGGAGGAGGAACAGTGACCATGTTGGTAACTCAAAGAGCCTCACTGACGACCTTGAGATGAACACTCCGAGTTGGTAGAGCACCTAGAGAAAATAAGGTATAAGTCGTGCAAGAATGTTTATTCTTGTTATGCTGCATGCTTTCTTCAGTGTTTCTCAGTGTTTGAGGAGATACATAAAGTACAATTAATATAGTTCACATTTATTCGTACATGAGCCTTAAAAGCACAGTTCACGGTAAAAATGATTTCTAAGATTCCCCTCATGATCACTCAGTGGCTCCCAAGAGTAGCACAGAGGACGCTGTTGGGCCGAAAAACTCAGTAGACTGAATATAATGGAGCCCCATTACCGGATTCGTCGACGTCCACGCCATCGACCAATGATGTATCAGAAGAAATGCCGAGGCGATACAAGTTGTGCCATTCGTGCGAGGACCAACACGTTCAGCATCCAATCAACTGATCGCCGAGTGGTGAATGGATGTTCAAGATGAAATTGATGGCAATTATTTTTCAGCATGCATCAGAATGTCCACAAGGCAGTGGAGTAGTAAGAAAACAATAAATCCGATCCATCAGCCTCTATCACATAAGTTAAACGCAATTGCAGACGCTGCGGGCAGCTCGCCCAAACACCTCCTTCACGCCATTTTTCCATCCCAATCTCGTCGAACCCCCTATTTTACTATCTTTTTGAGGCATTGTATTTCTGTGAACATGCCATTTTCCTCTTTTTCAACTTTCCACTATTCTGGACTATCACTTTCATCATCCGTCGAGAATCGGATTCCCGAAATTATCGTGGACTGTGCCTATCTTCGTTTGCTTCTGGGCTGAAGGTGGCGGATTGAGAAGAAGGGCATAAGAGACGACCCTCTTTTACTATGAAAGAGAAGTGAAGAAAACGTGATAACGAAGTAATTTTCTCACACGTTCTTCCAATTCATCTTGGTAGAAAGAATTCTAGTTCGCTTACTTCGAAGACAAAGCTCAATTGGGTGGTTATTCTGTATCTACCATCAAAAACTTTCCACAAAACCGAAACAGGGTAGAGTCTTGCGAAAGCATTCTTTCAAACTTGTTTGTTCTCGAGGGTAAGTAATTGAAGGAGAAGAGAGAAAGAAAACGGTGGGACGTCGTTTTCAAACAAAAAATAAGCGTGTGTCGTCACGGAGCAATTCTTTGTGATGCCATATGTTGCGACCAGTGCCTGAGGGCATTGGCGGAGACAACCTGGGACCGCGGCAGAATGTGGGTACTATTAGGGTACACACCCTCTAGCGGACTGTAATGGGCATCAGCACAACGCAGCTTGCCCAGACCAAACGGAGAATCTTACCCATGGCGAATATGCTATTCTGCGAGAATTAACGTTTGAAATGGTGCACGACATTATGCCTATAGCCTACACACTACACACACGAACACGAATTACTGCAGATGCCTGCAAATTCACGTAAGCAACAGATGTGAAACAGTGCATACGTTCTTAGAACTAAGATGAGAATATGAAGTAAGAAAACCAGAAGGACCGGATAAACAGGTTGAAGTAAATACTACCGTTTTTGAAATGCTTCCGGATTCGGGGCTGCGGCGGAGCTGAGGACGCTGTAGGAGATGCTGCCATTAGGAACCTTAGACGAAGCGTACATTCACCTAGATGGAGAATAAGGAAGAGTGACCGCTCCGCGAGACGACATAGGCCACACTGACGAAATGGCGAGCGCGCGACTGAGCAGAGAGCTTTCCCGCACTTCCGGAGACTTCTTCCATTTGAATCTTTTAACACGTCGACGACATTGCACGTTTGGACATTTTGGGCCGCGTGGGACAGACGCAATTTTGCGGCAGCTT